CAATATAGCGCTCTATGGAAACAGCAGTCAACGTAAAAGTTGAGATCACGACCGCTTGAAGCCATAACCAATGTTCGGCAACTCTTAAAGGATGATTCTCTTCAGTTGCGTTTACGAAGAATATCCAAGCGTAAACTGGATTCATTACCAGGCCAACTAAGAAATCAGCCACTGCGAGAGATAATATGAAGAAAATTGAAACTTTTCTCAAAGGAGAAAAATTGTAAATTGCTGTTAAAACCAACAGATTACTTGCCACAGATAAAACTCCAGAAAAGATATTAAGAACGGCTAAGACCTTGTACGAAGAGTTCTCCATAGGTGCCTCTATTTTATCACAAAGCGTACAATTAGCGCTGCGCATTTTTCGTATTTGTCTTAAATTCTTAACCGGGTAGTTAAAACGTTCGTTGGTCACAAGGACGACTGCGGAGCTTCCCACATCAAAACTACTCCTGTGTTAATAAAGATTTATTGGTTCATCACTCTTAAAAACCTTTTTGACGCGTGTCTATTTATTACTTTATTATCTCTCTCGGCTTTTTTTCTGTTAAAAACACAGTTGTGTTTATTCGCTTTTTTATGACTTTTAATTTCAGCAATCACTTTCACTCAGTTTCACACGTGGGCGTTATCAAAGATTGCAAATAAACTCCTTATTAATAATAAATGAAACTTAAAAGAGTGAGATCAAAACTTCAATCACTCTTTCATTGTTCCTTAAATTGACAGTTTTTCTACCTCTAGTCAGTGTCGATGTTTATCTCACCGTAAATTGTTTTTCTCATGGAACAAACCACTGATCAGCCGGAGTTAAAGACCGATTATTTCTTTTTCGAGATATTAAACATAAAACTTGCGCACGATTTTAACACAACACTGAGAGATTGGATGCTGGAAGATGAATGGCCTGTGAATTTCCCAATAATTTCATTCTTCTTTTTGTAGCTGAAATTTTTAAACTATACGCACAGCTGTGATATTTCCCATAGTAAAATGTTCGAAAATATTCATTCAATCCTGGATTGAGTTCGATTGAGTTCGGCAATGTTGACAATTAAAGAACAAAGCAATGAATTTGCCATTTTATATCAGCAATTAAATGGATTTGCATTGGTCTCTGGTGAACCACCCCATTTATAAAACGGCAGTTAAGTTCGGAAAGGGGCCTATTTTCTTTAAAACCCTGAAAACTTCGCCATCCTTGATGTCAAAACACAGTGTTGAGAGGCACAATCCTAGTCAGATACTGAGAACTACATGTATATCACGAGTTCGAAAATCGAACGTTCTTCATTTTTTCTTTTACAAATCGAACTGAACAAAAGTTCGATTGAGTTCGATTGAAATTTAGTTCGATTGGGTTCGATTTACTATGCCGGGTGAGAACTACATGTATATTTTCTACCAGCTGTCAACTCACTCTTTGTTCGTTTTAATAATAATAACAATAATAGACACTTATATAGCGCGGTATCCAGTAATTGCTCAAAGCGCTGTACAATAATATGGTAAGAAACTAGAGTTAAAAACTATTATAAGATAAAATAAAAATTAAATAAAGCTACGAAAATCAAACATCGTAGGCTAATTTAAATAAGTATGTCTTCAACTGCGTCCTGAACTGGTCGACAGATGTAACACCCCTGAGTTCAGGGGGCAATTGGTTCCATAACCTAGCAGCAGCTGCGGAAAAAGCCCTATCACCATACGTCTTTAACCTAGCCCTAGGCACCGCTAGAAAATTCTGGGAACTAGAACGAAGTAATCGTGGATCATTAGTGTAGCGTACAAGTTCGGATAGGTAAGTTGGTGCCAAGCCATTTAGACATTTGTAAACTAAGAGTGAAATTTTAAAATGTATGCGATAATCCAGCGGCAACCAATGAAGTTTGAACAGGATAGGAGTGATATGGTCAAACCGCTTAGATAATGTAACAAAGCGTGCAGCTGTGTTTTGTATCAGTCTTAACCTGTTTAACAGGTGTTTAGGAAGACCATATAACAAAGAGTTACAGTTATCGAGTTTAGAGCTAATAAACGCATGTACTAAAATTTGAGAGGTATCTTCACTCAAGTACTTCCTGATCTTAGCTATGTTCCTTAAATGGTACTGACAGGAAACGCAGATATCAATAATCACCCCCAGATTTCGGGCGGAAGGTTTGGGTTGGATCTTCTCATCGACCAGTTGGATAAACTCTAGAGAAGGCCTGCAACGAAATTTCGAGCTGATGAGAACAAGTTCAGTTTTATCCTGGTTGTTCACCATCCAACAATCAATGTCGTTTACGCAGCATTCGACACGACGCTTAGCCAAAGAGAGATCATAGCTACAAGCAGTTCTAAACGATGTATACAGCTGGGTATCATCAGCAGATAAATGATATTGTAACTTGTGGAACTTTATGATATCAGCAATGGGTGATGTATAGATGAGATAAAGAAGACGGCCCAGAACAGATCCCTGGGGTACACCGCGCTCTAGAGAGCGCTGTGTTGACCAACAGTAATGGACCCGAACAAACTGCGTGCGCGACGTCAGGTATGACTCAAACCATGCAGTTGCAGTACCGTTTACTCCGAAGCGGTCACGCAATCTTGATAACAGTATCGATTGATCAACCGTGTCGAAGGCAGCTGACAAATCCAATAAAAGAAGTATAACAGACTCATTGGTGTCAATAGCACACAGGATGTCATTCTGGACCCTTACTAAAGCTGTCTCGGTGGAGTGAAAGTTCTTATATGCAGACTGAAACGTCTCATCTAAGTGGTGCGCCATGACGTGATCTGTGAGTTGTATGGCAACTGCCCTATCAACAAGCTTCGATACTACTTTTAAGTTCGAGATAGGACGAAAGTTTTGTAACTGTTTAAAACTGTTTTCCTGATGTAATTGCCTTCTTTGCTGGAAAGCTGGGCCGAGGAGTATCAATTTTCTTTAGCTTCCTGTACAAAATAATATCAAAACACGCCTTAATATCAGGGCCAGGAAGGGAAAAATGGTGTTATGGGAGAACACATCACCCAGTAACTGCTGCTTCTAAAAAATTTCGGATCAAACGATATCTAAATCGTCCCTCATTGGATTATCCACTCGATCTAACAAAATCGACCAATCACAAAATAAGGAAAAGAAAATGGACATAAAATAAAGAAAACAGCAAATTCAGATGACCTCTCAGGAAACATGCAATAAAAACTGTCTTTCTATGATTGGTGTATTTCGATCCTCTCATCCAAAAAACGTCAGACGCCAATCATCTTAGTGGACCTCTTAGGAAAGGAAAGTTTACTTCAACGGGTTCAAAAGGTAGTTGTTTTTGATTTGTGATTGGTGGATTTTGATCCGTTTTGTGAGTTTCTGTGTTTCAAGGTTCGTAACGTTAATATTCCAAGTATTTTTGATAGATTTCATCCATGGACTTCAGACTTCCAAATTTCGATGAGGCAAAAATACTGAAGATTCAGATTAACTTTTGAGATCGTAAAAGTGCGACAAAGTGCCGTGTGCTAGCAGAGCTATCCTTCCCACATGCCTCTTACCTTGTACAAGACGTTCGCATGGCAGACATTCGCCTCGCTTCGCTTGTTTACTTGCCTTGTTTGCGTTAGCACGTATTGCGTGCCTATTGCACATTTGCGTCAAAACAAGCCGTTTACATTACTCTAGGGCCACGCCCAAAAAACAAGCGATTTTAGTTTAAACATTGAGTATAAGGAACTGCGATAAAATATTACTTAAAATCGTTGTAAAAAATTCAAAACAGATGACGACGTTTCGACGTTCCCGGACTTCATTGTGAAGTCAAAAGAACATAGCTTATACACGTTCTATTCTCGGTTTTCACTGTCACGCAATCAAAAATAAAATTGCAAACCATTCAATACAGAAAGTCCCGAATCTAGGAAATAAAAGAAGATAAATAAGCAAAAGGCCTCGCCAAGAATCAGGTCTGTGCGATATTTCATATGCGAGATATTAGGAAAAACGTTTTAACCAAATTTAGAAAAGATGGAGACGCCATATTTGTTTTTATGGCCGCCGGAAACCAACAGAAACATCTGTTTTTGAGTTTTCCTACTAATGCGTTAATTCATCGCTTGAAAAACTCATAAACTATCAAAGTGATATTTATTCTGAGACAAGGAATGTTTAGACAGCAAAATCTCCCAAAATTGGTAATGTTTTTAACCCACATAAGAGCCGTTGTGGCCGCCAGCTAAATGCCGCGTCACGCAAAAGCCTAGAAATTCAAACGTCCTCTATCGCAAAACGAAGAACCCTTTCGAACCAAAACTCTCTTTAAATAAAGGTGTTTAGGTGCTGTAATACCTCATGAAACTCAGAAACTCAGAAGAATCGATAGTTTCTTAGTTTGAATTTTAGTGACGTCATGTGAAAACCGAGAATAGGAATTAATACAAGAAATACAAGCCTGTGTGCAAACCCCCAATTCCCTCAAAAAAGGAAGGAAGATCGATATCTATCTTTTTTTTAGCGGAGAGGCCGTCTGTACACAGGCTAATTTCATGACCGTAGTCTAGCTACTTTGTTTGTTTTGGTAGTTTTATCCATACATGCTAGTACTTTATTTACTGTTTTTGGACCAGACTTTCACACGATAGATTAAGTATTCCATCTGATACATTATTTCTGGTTTAACATGATGAGAAAGATATGGGTATTCTGAGCAGTATTCAACGCCCTCTTTATAGAATTTCGGGTACCACCATGGCAACTTATATGTGAGGGGCATCGGATGAGATTCTAGTGTTAATACCATAAACGTTTCTTTGCCGCTGGAATCTGTGGTTCTAACGGGCACGACACCCTGTGCCTTGAGGCATTTTCCGACCGCTACGTCCTCAAAAGGGTGGTGTTGTGGGCAGCTTGGTTCACCCAGTGCTTTTTTAAACCTTCGCAGTGTTTCACGACTAAAAACGTATCCTCCACCGCTGTTGTAAATACCATCATGAGTAAAAATTCTGCCAAGCTAATGAGGTTCCAAGGTATTCAATTTGGATAGATAAGAACGAAGATTTTCAATGATGGCGTAAGTGTCGTCGTCCGCTTTAAAAAACCAATCAGCATCGTTGAGATGGTGGTTATAAATGTACTCCAATGATGCTCGAGCTTTGTCATACAAATTTGCAGGCCCCTCTTCAACATTAAGCCCAATGGCGGGGAAATTGAGATCCTCTTTTGAGTTGAAAAACAGAGGGGTGTCGCAGCGCTTTCCCCACGTATCCTTCACTGATTTTGCTCTTTTAGGTATGTTGTCTGGACTTGTCATTATCCAGCATAAGATTCGTGTCCCGTTAACTTCAGGGGTCAAATAACCTCTCTCCTCTCGTTGAATGCTGTATCTTTTTCGTTCAGTAGGACGATAATACGCGTTAGTCTTGTACGTGCTAACATTTCTCTGAGCAGCTATTTTTTCGGTGTACTCAGTTGCAATGTACTCGTGCATAAACTGCATGTAATTATAGTGTTCAAATATGAACATGGTTAAAACTCCCAGTGCCATTCCCCAAGCAAAAGTGGACAGCTTTGAGGTGGAAGACAGGTTCATGATTTCCTTTCGGTAATTTATTAGCAGTGATTTCTCCTTAAATGTCTTCTGTTAGGTTTGAAAAAACCTACAAAGAAACGAAAAAGATTAATAGGTATAATAGTTCTAGTATTGTGTTTCTTTTCGGTGCAACTGAAGGCACAATTGCAATGCATGTTAAGTTTAGTTAGCACTATCAAGACCCCCATAATGGCGTGTTCATTGGGCTGCCGGCTGTGGAACGTCTTTGGAACGGCTGTGATTCAGACGCTGAACTTTTCATTTGCCTAAATTATAATAACGTATTTTGCAAGAAGTTTGACCAAAATGAGCATTTTTCTCCTTTCTAATTTAGTTCTGCTGGAATTAAGATCGGCGTCTGAATCAATTCAGGCGGTCTAATTAGTTTGGGTCGGCCTTAAGTCGAGCTAGGTTAGGCTAATGAAAAGTTAGACGTCTGAACAAGGCCTAAGCGATCGATTATGAGATCAATGAAAGAGTAAATCATGCAATTGTTATCTGGAGGTAAAATGAGAAAAATGAAATTTTTCTAATCTAATAATGTATGAAATCTTTTAGGAATCCAAAGTATCTTGAAAGATACGATGATGTTGTTTTTGACTTGGAAACAGCATTGCGCGTCAGTAAAAGGATGGATACAGATTTGTTGCTGATAACAGTGGAGAGGCCACTCCATTCGATTGGTATAATGCTCGAATGTCAATCAATTTTAAAGTGAATAAGACAGCTGACAGCGACAATATTGCCGCAAATGACCACAGTGATATTGTAAATGGATCTTACTTATTTTTGAAAAATTTTGATGTAAAACTGAATAGTAAAAAGGTGTACGATTTCAATGAGGCCAATCATGCTGTTAAAATAAAAAATCTGCCCCAATATATTCCAGTTTATGCTGAAAGCACAGCAACCAATGAATTTTTCTATCTCAATTCTAATAGGAATGCAGAAGAACGGGCTGCAAAAACCAACTGAATTACAATAAAGGGTTTTAATTTCCTTCGTAAAGCACTTTTTTGTACCTCATCTACAGTAAACACTGAAATACCTCAGGGGCACCCAACGTCAATTTTTGGAAAATATCTGTTCGGAAGACAATTTGAGATCTAGAATTTTGGGAGCATTTGTTTTAAAATTTCTTGCTTGCCTGTCTCTCCTAGGATTTTCGAACATCTAAAAAATGGTATAATTGCCCATTTTTAACGGATTTTTACCCTAAAAATTAAGATCACCTAGAACTTTCGGGAGCCTTTTTTCTGGCTGAAATTTTCGAAAAGGTAAGTTTCGATCCCTATAATCTTCGGATCACTAGATTTTCAGCTAGGAAATCCGAACAGATTAAAAATTTTTAGGGGATAAAAATACGCCCATATCTACCGTTTAAATACTAAAATACATTTAACAACGCTATGTTTAAGTGGTTTTGAACTGTATTCTCTTTGGGTGCATTCTCGTTGGGTGTCCCTGATACCTTTAAACCGATATTCATGTTTTGTGAAATGCTAGAAAATGAGCTATTACCTTATAAAAGCGTTGAATTGAATTTGGAAACTGAGTTTGATGGCAATCTAATTTGGCAAGATGCAGATAAATGTAAGTGATTATCACTAGGAGTTGCAATTGTTTGTTCCGCGGATAACTTATAACAGTGAAGGACAATCGTTATAAATGAGTCAACATCTAAAATCACATATTATTAAATGGACCTATTTGAGAGAAAATATTGAAAGATCAAATTCCAGTTAACAAGAGATCTGAAAATTTCAAAATAGAGTGATTTCAGGAGCCGATTACTTGGAGCCTCCACATTCCCGTAAAGAATTATTTTTAGAACAGGCTTTGCCGCGAAATTAATGTGTAATCGGCTCCTGGTGATTTTACTTAACCCGTGAAATAGGTAGTAGAGTACTACGCGGACCATTATTATGCACTAATTCCATTGTCTTCGTCTGTTTACTAGTAGCTATTTTGCGGTAGTTGTTACTATCTGCTTCACGGGTCAAGTAAAATCACTCTATCAAGCGGTGTAAATAGCCCGATTCATGTTTTGCATTCATAATCATGATGCAAATATCGATTTACGAACAAAAAAATACATTTCTTTATAATACATTTAGTGTTTGAAACTGATCCAAGAAATGTAAGTAATTACCATTCAGAAGCAAGTAAGGGAAATGAATACCATGAAATACATTATATACCATCTACTGATATGACAAGAGTATTCAGAGATGTTCTGAAATATGTCCATAAAAATAACGAATACAGTGAAGGATCATTACTCAACAGAAGTATTACAACAACAACAACAACAACAACTCACTTTATTAAGAAACAGATATTCACAATTTGATATTTACAATTTCAATAGTACCTACCCAAAGATGTTGCGGCTCTTTTAATGCAATAAGCTTGTTAGAATCATGAGCGTAAATAAGTTGAGCACAATAGGGAACTAGGAAGATTTCATAGGTTAAGCTTTTATTTTCTGTGACCTGAATCACTGTAGCTTGAAGTAGCTAGGGCTTAGGGTCGTCTTTTCTTCTTCCTTGCCCGTAAGCTCGTAAAGTATCGATCAAGTACTGATTTATGGGAGAAAACCAGCTGTTTGGTCAGATTTGAACTTTATTTTTTTTTCAGTCTTCATTTGTCATAACCATACGATGCAGTTAAATTTGAACATCTAGATATTGTCTTACTATCTGACTCTTGAATTTGTTGCCATGGCTACAGGACGTTTCTTCGGAAACCGAACTGGGTCAGCGGTTTTCAGATAAACACTCACTTGTGGGAACCGACTCCAAAAGCTAGAGGGAGATACATTAATAGAGTGGAGGCGAAAAAATGATGGAAAACTGATCGGGGGGAAGGGGAGAAACAAAATTACAGTGTTTCACAGGGCTACATGGGGAAGACTTAGAGGCAGGAAAGTCAGTTGTGGTTGGAACTGTCAAGAGATTCGTGAAACTGAGGGTTTGTGAAATTGTGATTCTTCTTTAATATTATGATCTAGTCTCCATGCCCTTCCGAGGCGAAACCAAAAACGAACTTTATGGAGCTAAGTCTTCTATGGGTTGAGGCGTTAAACTCCCACGCTTTGTTAAAGAAACGAATTTATTATTTATGCGGTAAAAACTTTTACACAATTGCACTTAATCCCCTAATGTGTCTAGACATTTGACACAGACGAACGATTTGGAATAAATTTCATTTTACTTGTATTTTAAACAAATTGTTTCATGTCGCGTTATTATCGATATATATATATTTACCTCCCCTTATCACCCGCTTAAATATTCTTACGATTTCGCCAACTATAATTTAATTCTTTTTAAATGTGTTTTGAAGTAGCCAAAATTTTACAAGAGGTACAAACGATGACACCAAAAGGGGAATATAAATTTAAACACTCAAAGTGAACATCGAGCGAAAACTTCAGTTAAGAGTGGAAACTGTTCTGCTAAAATTAATGTATTACTGTCGTCGGTCGAAGCCCTTGAGTACGTCTAACGTGATGCCTCAGGGTCATACGTCCACTGTTCACAGTATCCGAGAATCCGCAAGTCTTTTATCACTTCTTGTTTGAAAACAAAAATTGTGTGTCACATTTCCTTTGGCTTCTGCCCAACATTCCTGTCATTTCTCGTTCTCTCTCAGCTTCCTGAGAAACTGATAAAAATTTACATAGTTTGTCGTTATTTCATTCAGAATCTCCTTGTTTACATTTCCCAACAGAACGCGCGCCGACGCTGTTGTATCCATTCATCACAGTTTTTAATGTCTTTAACTTGGTCGTAGAAGACGTGAGATGGTAAAGCATCTATTCCTTTATCACCAAGCTGCATTCCCTTGCCGCAGTGAGCACAGATCACGGAGTTTTCAACCAGAAACTTCTTAAGACACGCTTCACAAAACTGGTGTAAACAGTCCAGTACCTTCAAGTTATTGTTCCCTTCTTTGCGACAGAGCTGGCACAGCGAGTTTTTGCTATGATTTTTCATTCCCTTTGAAAGGACATATGGTGAATCGCCGGAATCCATTCTGTGTATGGCTAGAAGTTACTGAGACTCTCTGCCTGCTCAGAGTTTTGATTCCTGTAGCATGAATGGCACTATTATTTATAGGCCAAAGGTTTATGTATTCGGTTTACGTTTCACTGCGTCACATTGTCATATTTGTATTATATCATCTAAAGAGCTGTTTATATAAAACGGTATATCTAGGAGTTTGAACGGGTAAACATGTCTTTAATATCATTATTACAATTTAATTTTAGTTATCTTGTCACCAAAAATTAAACCAATAGTTTAAATGAAGTTGAAATGGTTAACAGACACGTCCAAAAAATTTGTTGCCTCCGGAAAAAACATACCTCACGCAAAGAGTGTAACGTAACGTAACGACGGGTTCCTACTGCAAACGAACAGGAATCTGCCGCTTCTGTGCAAAAAATAGCCGCCACTGCCTGCCCACAGGGAAAGTAGTGTGCTGTTCAAAGTCAACTGTGTACTTTGGACGATTCTTCCTATTTTTGAATGCAAGCCTCAAACTTTCTGTGAAAAATATCAGAAATGATCCAGCTTTGCAAGGGCTGCGTTTTGCCGCAAGCACGAGTGAGGTTTGTCATGATTTTTTGACGCATGTCCGAGGATGACTTCCTTTCAAAAACCACGAATTACGAAATTATGCATGTCAAGTCAACGCCGACAGAAAAGTTCTTTAATATCAGAAAACTTAGAAGTTTCCCGGTTCTAAACGGTTAAAAATACGTTGATACCAAGGAAAGGCCGCTATAGGGCCTGCATAATTAGTCAACCAAACTGAGGTAGTATTTGCATGCATTTTGTGGCAAGTTGAGAGGAGTCCGTTAAAAGAAAATTGGGACATCAAAAGGTGTCACTGTACTGACTATTGTGCCAAAGATGTAAAGGACGTAAACACTGATGACCAACAATGATGCCAAGTTGTGGAATGAAGAACGCCTTATATCAAAATTGAAACCAAAATCAAGCCAGGACATGGAGCATAATTTCGCTTGAAAGGATTTCCAGTTAGTCCTTTTTTTCACTAAATATAAAACATTTTCCCAAATTTTTGTATTTTGCATTAGCTTGCGGCGATCGGCTTCCCTATCCCTCCCTTTTACATGAAGGGGAATTAGAAACACAGCCCAGATCGTTCCAAAGTGAGTGATCACTACACAGTCATTATAATCACAAAAATTAAGGTGTTAAAAAAAAAAAAAATGTTAATGCAAAATGTTTAGGGGGTGGTAAACAACGCGTATTTTTGGCAATAGTAGAACCGGCTTAAATCCTCGTTTGGCCGTAAGATTCCTAGCTATAGACTATTTTGAATTGGCATTTTGAGTTAACATAACTAGACTGAGTAAAGGAAAGATAGCATGTTCACTTAGTAAACACTCAGCTCCAGTTTTATTATATTCACACTCGGAGTCTATTGGCCAGTTTGAGACTGAGTCAGTGTTGTGACATTCAAGTCGCATTGCTTTGGGTGCCGCTTTTTTATTGACTAAAACAGTCCCATAGTGCCTTCCGAAGGACACAACACTGACGTCAAAAGCTTGGTAAAGGCTTTGTTTATGCACGGCTAGCCTCGTAGAGAGAACGATGCTAGCCGTGTAAAAACAAAGCTTTTTAAATCTCCTGAGACAAAATGGCCGCCGCATGACAAAAGTCTATTGGGCTCAAAAATGGTGGCAATCAGGGGTTTCGTTTCGTTTCACTTTTCTTCGCGAGCTTTCCGTTCTCTGAATCCACACTTTCAGTGACGGAACGACTGCGATTAACTCTTGGACTGTTGGAAGAAAAGGACCCCAATTGTTCCCGAAGAATATGAAGGAAAAAAATGGGTGGTGACATAAAAAGTGTTCCCAAAATATGTAGAAAGTCACAGCAGCAGTGTAGTCCACTGTTTAAGACAAGAGAGCTCTCGGCTGACAATTGTTACACAGAGTTTACAATATCAAAACCATTTGTTCTTAAACACTTTATTTTATACTAACATTCACTCAGGAGTTAGACTTGAACGTAATGAAATTACCAACAAAATTACATTTTTTGAAATAAACATTATCTGCTTGAAGTATTATGACTGACTTTCTAGTGCAGTAAAACTCTGCAAATGATTCACCGTTAGCATATTCAGTCTCACACTCTCATACATGCACGGTACGAACAAAGAATTTTGCAACCTGTCTTTATACCGTGTATATCTATAGAGACTTAAATACGATCGTCTGTATGTATTCATAGTTCTTCTTTAAGTAGATCCCCGTATTTTGTCATACGACTGCCAGCAAAGTCTGCATAGTGCTTAACAAGCTCTTCAACAGATAAGAATTGATCCTGTCGGAAAAAAAGGTAAAATTATTTTGTATTAAAAAACCTCAGATAGCCAATTATTACTGACATAATTTTTCCTTTTTGACAAAACCCTGATTAAAAGCTCTAGCTTCAGTGTTCTCGTTCACCCCATGAAATGAGACTTCGAAACCTTTTCTATTAAACCTCTTTTCGGTGTGGCCAGGGTTCTAGTGTAGTGGACGTGGGATTTTCGAAATTTAATGCCCACATAAAATTAACACTTCCAGATCAACCTCGGCCTAATTCCTTGTTACCTTTTTGGAAAAGCAATCAGGAATTACCGTATTTATTCGAGCTTATTAAATTTTTGGACCTTGAGTGGGCGCAGGTGGGCGCTTATTCGAGGCTGGGCGCTTATTAAATTTTCACCATTTTCAGCAAGTGAAGTATGTTTATTTTGCAACAAAACAATAAATGCTAATAACAAAACGAAGAAGTAACGCAAAGGTTTCCCCCTGAAGAAAACTACGTCCATTGAATTTATTCATTTATTTTTGCCCTTTTTCGAAACTTTTTTCTGCCTTTAGGATGCAATCAGGTTGGGCGGAATACGGTAAACCATTTCCGTATCAAACTTTGGGTTGCAATTTTGGGTTAACAATGACCGAGATTTTCTCTCCTTTTATGGTCTTTTTTATTATTCGAGAAACAAAAGGTTGCAATTACCGATGCGTGGCAAGATTATCGACCGCGAAATTCAAACCTTCGTAAGTCACAGTAGCGTAACAAGTGCCGACTTAGGGGAGTAAGGTGTGAAGAAAATATACCGTAAAAATGATCTAACAGGAGAGGGAGTGAGGCTATTTTATAAAGGCTCCTCACGAAGTCTCAGCGGTTCAAATGAGCAAACACGTTTTCATGCCCAAATAACTGACAAAGCGAATACCTAAATAGAACGTGCTGGATTTCCATGTTACAAGCTGAAGAAAGAGCCAGTGCCAAAAAAAAAGCAGATACTGCGAGATCGTTCTACTTTTTAGTCTACCGTTGTTACAAGTTACTACTGGTCATTACCTTGTCATCATCACCTATTTTCATGAGGTGATTCGTTTCTGATTGAATAGGATCCTCTGATACTCCTGGGAGAATCCAGCGACGGACTTCATCCTGTAAAGGCAAAAATGTTAACAGTGATAATAAGAATCTCCTCTCATCGACCACGCCCTAAATTCAAACCTTCCACTGACACGTTTTTGGCTACGCACGTTAACGCACGTTAACGCACGTAAACTTTAATCACGTAAATAAAATAGAGGAAAGATATAAAGTGTTGAGATTAAACGTGAAGTTGAGCAAGATTCTATTTTTTACGCTAACGTGCGACCTTTCATACATTGCCTCTATTTTATTTGCGAACGTAAATTTCACGCACGTACGCACGTTAAAATTAAATTACGCGACATGAGTGGAAATCGACCCTTACTCTCAAACTGTCAATAGACCTTTTTACCGATACGGCAGCCATATTGAATTAATTCGATTTAAGGAGTATTATAGGATGCCCAGGGGCATGAGCACATTTCGTTTGTATTTTCGAGCGCTTTTCGGGACATTTTTTTGTAAAAGTTTTCTTAGAATAAGATTGTAATGGGAAAAAAGATCCTTGTGCCGTGTTTTGATGTAATAATGATCGCCTTTTTCCCGAGAAATATACAGTGAAAGACCATATTTCTAATACTAAACCTTAGAAAAAGGCGATCATTATTACATCCAAACAAGAGAATACGTTAATTTCATTTCATGAAATAAGGCAGTCGAGGTGGTTCTAAATTTTCAGCGTGAGGATGAAAACCTAATTTGCAACCAGTCAAACTTACACAACTAAGTAATACTTTCCTCTGGTACTGTCGACCTTTACAAGAAATTATGATTTATTTCTTTAACTTTTATCGTAAGTTTATTTCTTCAATGTTTTTGGAATTGTAAGAACTACTAGAAATCAGTAATTAAGTCGTCCGTGTACTCGCGAGTATACATTAAATACCGTGTACAATTTTCTTTGGAGCTGGTGCTTTTCAATGTTATGTTCAACGATAACCGCATTTTCGTCACTAATATAACTATTAGTGACAAATAACGGCGTTTGATTTAGAAAGTTAGATTGATAAAAACGAAAGGTATAAAAAAACTATGTACAAAAAGGCGTACCGAATCAAGATAACCATCTTTATTTCGGTCCAGCTCCTTTTTAAAGCTTGTAGTTAGAGAGCGTAAGCTGGGCTGGCTTAAGTTATCACCTGTTGAAAAAAGAAAAAAAAACCCAATATACTAAGAGTGTTACAAGTTATGTGGTTTGACAAGCAGTCAGAAGTAATGAGAATTTTTCTGATGATTGTTATAATTAGTGTGATTACTTTGCTCAGCTAATTTAAATCGTTTTTCTAGAACTCTGATAAAAATATTCGAGATAACGGGCGAGCATCGGCGAGCCTGAGGAAGGATCGCGATGTACGTTCAGTCTGCATCCGTGAGGGTCTCGATGCCATTGCCGGAAACTGCGCCTGATCGGAATAGGGCCAAAAGGCGAGTTAATATTTGAGTCTTAGGCCTAGGCCAAACGTCGAACTTGTCATGAGACGAACCAAACTCTAATTTGGGTCGACCTAAATTAACTTAAGATCGTCTGTTGGGACAGACGTCGAACTTAGTACGCGTCGAACCAATCAACTGAATCAAACCAAAAAGGAATTTTAGCCGGCCAGTAATAAATTTTCTCCCGAACAAGGCTAAATACACATTATCATTATCATTATCCGTCTGAAACAGACGGATAGAACGTGTTGGACGATCCAAACTCATTCAGACGAACTTAACTGAGCCAGACGTCGATCGTTCATGAACTTAACTCACAACGTTTGGTTCGTCTCGTGAAAAGTTCGACGCTTGGCCTCGGCTTTACGGGCCTAAAATTTTCAAGCCACAGCAGACAAAAAAAAAAGAGAGGGAGAAAGCAGGGAGAAGAAAAGAAAGGGAAGACAAAAGGCAACGGTCGCACAGTCATCTTTTGTTAAGGCCACTGTTACTAGATGAAAGCGGGATGAGAAGTGCGAACATCTTTTTCTTTACGTACGTACCGAGGTATTCTTCAAGCGAAATCTTTCCATCTTTATTCGTATCAAACGCTTCCAAGTTCTCCTGTTACAACAAAAAAGAAAAACAATTATTATCACACAAAACTTTCTACTGAGTTTCACTAAGTGGAGCAATTTTCCATTGGCAGGTGAACCAATTAACTAAGTATAAAAAACCATAGTTTCTGTGATTAAACTAAAAACCGGCGATACTGGTTTTTAAGAACCTGTTTGGCTAAAGGTGCCAGTCAACACCCCTCCCCCCCACCCCCCATACAAGAACCCGTTTAGCCTAAAATTTGAAACAGGTTCTTATTTTCTGAAGTCTATCAAAAAATTATGTAAACTTGGCCAAATAAGATAAGCCAGCATTTAGGATCCTCTTTGGAGACATAGGTGCCTTATCACTCCAACTGCAATACCAATTTATTATGCAGATTTTATATAAAGAATAAGCTGAATACATCTAACTACTCTTAGCTACAATGTATGTTTTTCTTAAGAAAAAAACCGTTTTAAGAACTTAACTAGCCTAAATTTCTGCTCATTACCATCTATGTAAGAACCTGTTTAGCCTAACTTAGGAAAATGCAGCATCTTACTAGCGGGTTTTTACTGCTCGATCATTCACATGACTCGTGTGCGCAGTTTCCGTTAAGGTTTTAAATGAAAATACAGAGTGGTCTTTCCCACAGCCAACGTTACCACGAACTCACTTGTAACCTTGATCCCAGGGACGTTTCTCTTTAGCTTCCTCTTTTGTGAAAAGCTGAAGAGAAATGACCGTCCGGATGGAGGCCAGTCCAGCCTCGCTTCCAGGGGCTTTCATCTCCCTTCCTCCCCCTACTCTCCAACCCAGAGGACGGAAAGGGAGACACTGGAAACAAGGTTGAGCTAAATCAATCGCTTTACCTGGACAAGAAATGCCGTCATTCGTTTAGACTCCTCGGGATGGAGAAAAAGTGTGAGCTCCTCCATAGACAGTTGGCCATCAGTATCTGTGTCGGCGAACTCGAACTTTTTCTTCTCACGCGCTTCGATTTCCCTCAGTTCTTTGGTGGTCTCTTCAGGTAAACCTGCGAGAAATAAGCACCTGTTTCATTAGCCCTTTAGATCCCAAGAGTGACCAACATCAATTTTCTCCTAACAACATCAGGAGATCATCAAGAGTAAAGGTTATGAGAATTACTTAATTGAAAACCAAAGGGAGAATACTTTGATCTTAAACCAAATTCTCTCAACTAATCTTAAAAGAAATGTATGAAGATCAGTCTGGAGAATTTGTACGTGGATCTTGGGGCTTAAAGGGTTAAGGGTTACGGTGAAGTGGAACTTTTGACAGCTTATCTCACGTTTAAGGTGTTTCGATAGGGTTTTTCGGACACCATACGCCTTAAAAGTGATTTAATCCTTGTCTGATCACTATAAAATTTTCACCACAGAACGACTTTGGATTGAAGTTTGTCAAAATGTAGTTTAAAGTTAAATTGATATCACTATGACGACAATAGAAAAAAAACTCTGTAATCGAATTTGAAGCCGAATTTTATGCGACCTAGGCCTGCTACTGAAAACCCGACACCAGGAACTAAAACCTCCGTAAGGAGTAAAAAATTCTGTATGGTTGAATTCAAATAAACCCTAAATTTTGACTCTTACCTCTTTTCTGTACATTTCTGGAACGGTCCGACAGAATTCTTTTCCAACCTTATCACATATTCTTCAAGATGCATATAATATTGTCTGAAACTTTCATTAAGATTGTTTCATTGCAACACTTTGAAATTTCAGACCAACCTAGCCTACGAACCCGCCAAAAATCCGCGTTACAACATTTACTTACATGTTAATTTTTTCAAATTAATGCGCACCATACATACCCTCATGACTAATGCATTTCAGAGTGAATTTTATTGCATCTTTTGAAAGTTAAACATTGACAGTATTTACACTGAAATGTACTAGTCATAGAGGTGTGTATCACGAGCTTCGCTGAAGTTAAAGAGTTATTTCTAACCTTCCTCTTCGGAAAAATTAAATTCCACAGCCTTGTACTCTTCCCATGATACCTTGTCGTCCTTGTTCTTGTCCAGATCCTTTATTTTGGTGTTTGCCGACCGAAGCACGTGTTTTTTCATGTGCTGCTCAATCCAGTCATAAAGTTCGCTGTTAGAAACTTTGTTGTCCTTGTCTACGTCTATTAAAGGGTACAATTCCCTGTTGCAAAAAAATAAAAATGCAAAACAATTAAAAACCTTGAGAATAATGTGGGCTCTTCATAAATGGACTAAGTTACAGGCATGCTACTGAAGTACAAAGACCAATTTTCATCTTAAATAAGCACTAGTCACAGCTATCGCCAAGTTCCAACGAGCAAAGATTTTACCTATACTCGCGCGCTGTTCAATTTGTATTGAAATGTCATAAATTACCGTAATTTACGAGAAACACGCGTATAGATGTCGCATTTTTCCGCTGGAGTTTTTATTGTAAGCACAAAAACAATAACAAATTCCAGCGGGCAAATGCGACAACTATACGTGTATGTTGCAAATGAATCCACCCGACGATTGGTTATAAACGGGATGATCACGGGACTTACAAACACGCACACGGCTCGTGGATTCCCTGATCTGTATCACGTGTTCGCTCGCAAACAATGAAAACACTTTCTGTTCTGCATTACGTCATAAAAGTTACCTTACACTGCCTTATGTACCATCGCATAAAGATTCATTCTGCCTTGGAACTTTCGCGCACGGCTTTATTAGGCTGCCCGTTGACAATAGAGAGGGTGAGCTTCACGTTTACGTAAAACGGCAAACGCGTATTTGTACCACGTGACCAAGTTTCTCCTTCACTTGCCGTTTTACGTCCATTATTCAGTAGTTGCACGCAATTTTTTATCCATAAGATTGGTTTGAGCTGTTTTTATCTGTTCATTTTCTATTTTGAGAAATTCTCAACTTGAATCTGACATTTGCCGTTTGCCGTATACGTGAGGCTTAATCTCTCTAATAGCAATTTAAAAATCCCAGCAGACAAGAATCTGTCTTAGTTTAATCGCATCTCGGGTAGAACAAGTTCAGAGTAATAGACCAATTTCGATATATTAAAATTCATACTTGGCTCCGAGGTATGGGGGCATGAAAGAAAAGAAAATAATTACTCATTGTTGAGCCTCAAGATGATTCCTTTTGTTTCATTCCTCCAAGCCTCGCAGCCAAGTAGGTAATTTAATATATCGAAATTGGTGTATTGAAGTGTGGCGCCATAATTAAATTGAAATGACTGACATCAAGCCACATTGAACTGTCTCAAAGCTCATATCACACTAGGCCAATTCTGTGTTTTCACTCACGTGGCCAGCATCTATGCAAATTTATTGGAACAAAAGAAAGCGTTTACATAAGAAAAGAGTTCAACTCCCACAGGATTGGTTTGGGACACAAACATGGCCGCCGTTTAATTGTTTTGGGACACAAATATGGCCGCCATGACGTCACGTGAAAGCACACAATAGACCATTTTCACGATGACATCATTTTACCACAAGTAACAAAATTCATTTCGATTTTGCTTTCTTATTTAAATTTCTCAATCCCAGTGAGGTTTAAAACAATAAAAGCGCTAATTTCTACAAGAAATTTACCGACTGGTAGATTCTTGTAGTTGTAGTAAAATGAGGTCATCGTGCAATTGACCACTCCAGAAATACCATAACATACCATAATGCTGTTTGTTTGTCACCCCAAAATTTTGCATAAGCATCGTCTTCAGTTTCTCTTGGGAGTTAATATGGCCCCAAGAGAAACTGAAAACAATGCTTGTGCAAAATTTTGGGGTGACAAACAAAGAACATTATGGTATGTTACGGTATTTTCTGGAGTGGTCAATTGTCCTATCGCTTTTTTTGCATGTGACGTCACGGCGGCCATGTTGATGGTTTCTCTCCCTTGGGAACTGAACACCATTTTCATATAAAACTATTCAAAAAAGTGTTTATTGTATGACCACCACCATTGTTGCCTTGTCACGTGGCTGCAAACCTAGAATGTAATTACCAATGTGCAAGGTTTTTCCTTTTTGTGTGTGCTGACGTCATTACGTCAAACTACAGGGGTCGAAGAGGTGATTTTGGTAAACCAAAAAGGAAACAGCCTTTTTCCTCTTCAATATTGTGACTCCCACCACGCGAAGAGAAATGATAATTATGAAAACCGTTTAAAAATCTTTACAAGTCCTTTAATCGCGAGCCTTGGTCTTAAATAGATGTTTTTTCCACCAATGTCAATTTTATATGACTGGGTTGTCTGGAGACCAATACACTCTATGTATTCACAAATGCGATATGTAGATGTTATTGAGCTAGCGTGCCATCGATAACTTATAACATAATCAGAGAATTTTCGAAGACAGTACAGATATGACTGATAGAAATTCAAAGCCACTTACCTCAACTTTTCTTTGACTACATCATCGGGAAGCTTTTCCCATTCCATGGCAATTTTTTCGCCAAGAAAAGCTTCGTGGTCATACTCTGGATTGTGCTCGTCAGCGTCGTCGTAATGTTCGTTTCGTGAAACATCATTGTGAAATTCAGGATATTTTAGCCGAGTTGCCTGCACTTTCAAAGTACAAACAAATAGCGACACTACACAAAATAAGTTTAGTACTCGCAACATCTCTGAAATCTTGGTACAAGTCTGATGTATGAGAAGACCAGCTCGCAAGAACAAGACAGACTTAAGTTTAGTTTCAAGTATCTGAATTTATACAGTCCACTTCTGTCTTTCGTGTTTCGCCACGTTGCTTATAATATTGGCTTATGCGCTCTCTTCCGTTATTAGGAAAATGCTACGTGTTCTAAACTTATAGCCCCTACAATTTTAAAGCCCTTGAGCACGAAATGAAGTCTTTGTTAAGCCTTTGTGAGCTAAATATTCCTGTTTGAGAGTTATTCAACCGTTTGTTTATTTATTTATTAAAAAAAACAAAGTTTTTCGCAGTAGAGTGTACGCAGATTTTTCTCTTTAAGGTCCTTACTCTGTTGAACGAAAGCAATTTCTTTTATCTAGGTAGCTTGTAAGTTGTTGATGATCTATGATTTCGAGAATGCATGCATGCCTTTAAATAAACCTAACGTAAAATATTAGATCACGTCTAATGTGCAGACGCAAACAATGACGTCACTCAGCCAAGGGATATCTTTAAACAGAGGTAATATTGATTGTGCGCAACAAATCATAATAGGACCATTATGATCGCTTGGCTTGTGTTAACACCATAAAGGTTATTAAGTGCTTCATTTGCTGATTTATTTATAAGTGTGAATTTATTGAAGCTTTTTGTTCGTTGGATGAATGAATTTATGGTACAGTCAACCCCCGCTTTACGGACACCCCGGGGGGGGGGTACTCCCATACATTAGCTATACGGGTATGTGCCCCCCAACGGGGTCGTGATTTTAAAACTCCTGATTTAGAACGGGGTATCCATTTCAGAGGCGTTTTCTAGAACGGGGTATAAAAAATTGTGGATCACGGCTTTATCTTCTGCTTAAAATTGTTGCCGATTATGAAGAAGTATTATTTGATGTACAAGTCGAACAAATAAAGAAATATCTTTTTAAAAAACAGGGCTATTTCAATTTACAAGCTTTCTAGGACGGAGTACAAAAAATTGGCCTATTTCTAGAACGGGGTATCAGTTTTTTACGGCGAATTCTAGAACGGGGTATAAAAAATCGGCCCATTTCTAGAACGGGGTATCAATTTTAGGGAAAATTGTTTTTAGAACGGGGTGCCAATTTGGAGTCCCTGGCGGCACATACTCACCCAAAAATACCCAAGTGCCCCCCCCCCCCCCCGGGACGGACACGCACCTAAAACGGACACCTCATTATTACGGACAGTTAGCTTTGTCCCCGGCCAAAGAAAGCTCTTACCAGTAGCGGAACCAGACCTTCAGATAAAGGGGAGGCGGGGGGGGGTCATCCAGACCCTGAGATAAGGGGGACGGGGTCCAGTCACAAAAAAAATTTTTCGACCCTGCCTCAGTTTGGTCTCAAAATAAGGGAAGGGGGCGGAGGGGGGCTGAACTACTCACACCGCTTAATACAGACACTTTCTTTGGCACCTTCAGAGTCAGTATTAACGGGGTTTGACTGTAACAGGTGAGCTGTCAGGCCTATAAAGACTGTATTAACCCCCGTTAATACGGACACTTTCTTTGGCCCTTCAGTGTCCGTGTTGACGGAGTTTGATTATAGTTATAACGTCTGCGTTTTAGGAGGCAGAATTTTAGGTTTATCATAAAAAAGGCGAGTTGAAAGGAAGGTAGAACGTTTCTATAGTAACAGGAAACTGGGAGAAAATTATTAAGATCCTTAATAACTGATAACTAAAATCGGTTATAGGAAAGATGAGAATGGATGGAGAGACAGTGCCGGGCTAAGGGTAAAGATGTTGGAGATGATCATGTTGGCATTTAGCATCAAGCTTCTTGTTGGACACTGGAGCGAACATTTTCAGCTCTCGATCGTTTTCGTTTTAAAACCTGGGTGATTGTCGATCAAATTTCGGACGATTTTTGTTCGTTTTCACCAATTTACCTTCTGTTTGTTGTACATTAGAGGTAAATATCTTCTCAAAAACGGTTCTTTTGAAGTTTGAAAGTAAAAATTAACCGTGAAGCCTCGCAAGAAAATTGGGAAAGATTAACTTGGACAACATCATTGTAGCAACCCACACTGGCATATCAAATACACAAATTAAAATGTAGTTTATTATCAACGGCCTAAAGACAAAGAAAAAAGGTGAGCAAAGAATTTTAAAAAGTCTGCGATATTATTAAAGCTCGTCTTTAGACTTCTTCTCAGCTTTTTTCTTGCTTTTGTCCTTAGCTTTCTTCTTTGACTTTTGTTTATCTTCCGAAAACAAGTCTTTGTGGTTCAGGACTTCCTCCTCAACTAACAAACCATCCTGAAAAAAAAAAAAACAAACAAACAAAAAGGAAATCTTTAAATGATGCAAGCAAGTTTTCTTCTTATCAACAGAAACCGACATGGGAAGTCCGCCATGTACAAAAGCGTACCTGCATTTGATAGGTTTATTTGTTGTATGGCTGGAAATTTTTTCCCAACAGCGCGCGCTCTCATTGATTACTCCTAGGTCACATGACATCTAACAATGAAACTGTTTCCCAACAAAATCTCTAAGCGGGCAACATTGCAAAATCTATGACGTCAGAGGATAACGGTGCACTGTTACCCGCGAATGTTTACAGACGGCCGCCGTTACAGCGAGGTTTCATAAATTTCCAGCTTCAAAATTTCCAGCTATATAACGAATCGCGAATCTCAATGTTTCCGAACATTGAGATTCTCGGGAAACAAAATTAACCGTTTCCCTTGGGACCAGTCAGTAAGTGTTAATTGCTAAAGGCCCTCTATACACCAAAATTCTCTTTTACTTAAAACGGGTCTATTATGGAAACAACTACTAATGCTGTCACTCTACTCTCGGTTAATACACGGCTGAGATGATAGTACATTGGGGGAGAACCTTATCATCGCCGCCTTCCAATTATTAGGGAGATTAGGGAGCTTAAGCAACAGCGTTTTTGAGCGACGGACGTCAACCGGAAGTGGACTTTTTGCATCACTGGGGAATGGTTTGGTTGAAACTCTCAGGTAAATCGTCTTTAAAAGAGAAAAGAAACTCAGCAATACAAGTTTGTTAGCCTCAAGGCATATTAATAGGGAGAAGGCCTCACTTCCGGTTGACGTGCGTGGCTCAAAAACGTCTTTGCTTACCAATAACGACGGCGACGGCTATGACAACGTCACTTACAAAGTGAAGTCGCGCTGCTTCAAACTTTATCGCGCTTATTCCCGCCATCTCGTTCAATTCGTCAAATACTAGCAATTTTTTCTGGAGTTAAATTCTAAAAGGGTGTAACGAAGTTCAGGAAAAAAAAAACAAAGTCGTTGCCTTGTGTTCACGTCCTCTACAATACGTGAAATTAGGCAGATTCACGTCGTTGTCGTACAATGACTTGAAAGAAATGTACAAAAAAGTGTGATGCACGTGCGAAGTTGTTGTTTTGCTAATCTAAACCTATTGCTGTTTTGACGTTCTCGTTAACGTCGCCGTCGTCGTTGCTTGAGCTTCCTATTATGACACAACATCGCGCCGATATCGAGATTCCGGCGCTACCCTGACGCGCTCCGCACGGTATAAAGGATGCTGGTCTCTTAGTGTTCTTCATAATCTAACTTACGTTGTGCAACCTCTCTGTATTTAAAAAAAGATATAGCAGATCCAAGCGGAGGGTGGTTGGGTTTTCCCCAAGTACTAGGTCGACATGACTAGCTCTTGATTAATCGATTGTTGTTTGGGGTGAGAAATTCTCTTACATTTCATGCCTTATATTTTTCATAAAACCTAAATGAATTCGTACTCCACAATTGTTTTGGCTTAAACAACAGCCCAAAACAACAACAACAACAACAACAACAATAACAATGTATTTATAAGCAGAACTATAAAGTTTAACAATACTTATGCCCCGCAAATAGCTATTACGCTAATCTAGGCAGGAACAAGACTTAGTTTCTTCCCAGCAGCCCTTAACCAACAAATGGCTTCAAAGAAGACTCCTTTCGTGAACTGCGTCCTTGACCATAAAATTGAACTCAGTTTAATGCAATAAATATCTCCCACAAGTGTAACGTTGAGGTAGTCCTAAGTATTTACAAGGAATGGGAACATAACTCGCACACCTCGGGGTCGGGGATAGAAGAATCAAGGGGGGGGAAGGTATTGCCTAGACAGTCCCGGTCGTTACAAAAACAGGATATAACGACTGAATATACTTTTTTGAGAACAAAAACCTTACCCCAGGGTAGGGGACTCAGGGATATAACAGCTACCAGCAGGTATCTAACAGAACCGAACGGCTTTTGTTTATAGTTCCTACCTTGTCATCGTCTATCATATCCATAAGCTGTTGTGATTGTTTTTTGGCCTGGGAGGCGGTGTTTAAGGAAGTCAACCACTCCTTAATTTCATCCTAAGTGTTAAAAGTATTAAGTATGTTAGGAACTCTTCTAACTTATATAAACAAAAGAGATCTTGTCCACATCTGCGTAGTATTAGGGACGGACCATTATTTTTTGGGACGGGGGGGGGGGTGGAAATTTTCACAGGCAAGCAAACAATTTTTGTGTCTCCGTCTTCCCGCAAACACTTTCTTTTACTTGCAGACTTTTTACTTCAGTGTTTACAGCCTCTGCAAACAATTTATTTCATAACTTTTCAACCCCCTCCTCCCGTCAACAAAAAATTAATAGTCCGTCTCTTACTGAATCTAGGCATGAAAAATTGGGTTTCGGAATCGACAATTTTTTTTTACACAATTAAACAACAGCAAACAAACGTTTTAGTAGCTGGACTCTACTACGCAATTCCTTGCTAACGCTTTCAAGTTTCTTTTGTGCCAGTTTTTTTTTCTTTTTAACCTCTTCGTAATACGTCTGATAGTAAACTCACTCTGCTAATTTTTCCATCTTCATCTTTATCCAGCATCTTAAAGAATTTTTTGGCAGCCTCTACGTCAGATTTCCCCGCCTTTTTTACCTTAGCTGAAAAAAAAAATCGTTCCATTATTTAACACCGCATTAACTTGAAATGTTCCTTCGTTGTCTGAACTCTGTTTCAAATTGAAATTTCGGTTCTAGCAAACACGATTTATCAAAATACAGCTATCGTTTAAAGCTAAATCTTTTTCCGCATCTATTGAATTCCAAAATAAAGGTCTTGTTTGTCATTAAAACTGTTTTCGGTCCTCTGTCGCAACGGATGGCAAGGATGGACATGGATTGCAACCTGGAAAAGTTGGCTCAATTTTATCACGTTTTAATGCTATGCCTACAGAAATCAACAAAAGAATTATTACGGTTAGTGCTCCCTGGTGAAATTTGTTCGATATCTTCTTCATAACTCTACAGGAGCATTTTATGTAAAGGAAAACGCACTAACTAATAACATCAACACAATATTGACATAAAAGAGCAATACCCTCGCGACATAGCCTCTTTAAATGTCTGGGTACAAAACTAAAATACATCTGACACTACCGCACATTTCCCGCGCAGGCGCATGGTTGCATGATTTTTTCACCTGGTCACCCGGCACCCTTTACACTTTCCCGCGCTAAGTACCCGAGCATCGGTTGCATGCTATTTTCCGCGCTTTTCATAAGTTGCATACTTTCCCGCCCTTGACGTCGATTGGACTTGGCGCCAGTTTTATCGTTTGTCCGGCTTGGTGTTGTTGGAATATTTTCCTCTGACCACTGGTTGCATATGTTTGCCCTAAGATGTTTGACGATTTAAGTTTTTCATCTTTTTTTGATTATTATTTGTATTTTAAAACGTCCTGTACTTTAGTGTCTTAAGTAATAAAGACGTCAGTTCATGTAATACAATTTACGGCATTTTCGAGCGAGAGACGTTTAGCAGCGTAATGCTTAAATATAAATTGCGTTTAGGGCTGTCTGATGGCCTAAATTTGTACCTACCTTTATACTCTTCCAAGGTCATCAATCCATCTTTGTTGCTATCCCCCGTCTCCATATATTCCTTTATAAAGAAAATTAGGCATTAATGAAACGCGGTAACATTTTATGTAGGCTCGATTACCAGCCGCTGTTCTGGAAATGAGCCCGCGCTCCTCCGAGGAAAGAACAAGATTAGACCCGAGAGAATGGCGCAAATAGAAAGAAGTCGTTACGTCACGTTGCCTTGGTAGCAAAATTTCTGGATGACAACAAATCAAAACGTCACTTAAAAAGTGGATTCGCATTGTTTCAAACTTCGTCGATCTCATTTAACTTCATTTAATTTGTCAAATGTTGGCGAAATTTTCTGGGTTGAATCCGAAAGGACCGCATCTAAGTTTAGAAAAAGAAAAAGAAAATTTTTGTGTTGTGATCACCTACTCGATAAAGCGGGAGAGTGAAATTAAGAAGGTTTCAAGTCGCAGTCGTGCAACAACAGCCAGGAAATGTACAAAAAGGCGTGATGCACGCGCAAAGTTGTTCTTTTGCCAAAGTAAACCTATTGCTTTCCTGCTGTTGTAAAAACCCTCTATTGCTGCGATCCAGAAATTTTCTCTACCATAGTAACGTGACGTCACACTTCTCTCTATTCAGCCTACTTTTACGGTAAACATTTAGTCGCATCACTTATGGTCATGTAGAGTTCAGCGAAGCGACGAACGAGACCAAAACAGCTGTTAGTCTTTACATGGAAAAGTCTACCAACGCCGCCCGGTTAGTTCAGGTGGGAGAGCACCAGTCTGCCGAGCGGAAGGTCTTGAGTTCAAACCATGACCGGATCAACAACAAGGGTCTTTAAAGAACTGGTGAAATCATGCTGGCTGTGATTTGAGACCCTGTCTCAGTTCAGATGAATTGATTAAGGGTTGGCCTTGTCTCCTTCATCCTTCTTCATTAGTCTAAATCGAAACCTACACTACTGTTTGAAAAAGAGTAGGGGAAGTTTTCCCGGCGGTGTGCTCTACCTTTCACGCATCACGCATCACGCATCACGCATCAAGCATCATTTATATCATGCGCTATGGACAGGTTACAGTAACCTCATAAATGGACTGATAGCGGCTGCCAGTGGCCCCATTGTATGCTGACGTCCTAGTATACTGTTAACATCCTCATACATAATGCAAAGAGAGCGCGTTTTGTTGTCCTCTAATACACGACATTACATTGCATTGCATCGCATCACCTCACATCATTACATTACATACACATGTAGAACCAAGAGCCATAACCTATAGCGGAATTTTCACATCAGACATTAAAATCTCCTCTCCTCCGAGATATTTGCGGAAGTTACGGCGTAAGGTAGAAATGGTTATGCAAGGCTTTGGGGGGTAAACAAAGTGCATTATGGTCGATGTGAAAATGGTGAATGGGACTAAACTAAAGCTGATGAGCGTGAAAAATAGATTTTGCTAATTAGCACCATTAGGTTCGTCCCTGGTGAAGTTCGACGCGTGAACTGGCCCCATCATTGCAGCGATTTTCTTACTAAATGACAAGGTTCACACAAAAAGGTAAAAACAAGAAGAAAAACAGAGTTTATGAGTAAGTTGAAAGCAAAGAAAAGAGAAGAAAAACGTACATCGATAACTACATCGTACATGTGCGACCTTTCTTCCGGGTGAAACATGGAAATAATTTCGTCCTGGGAAAGTTGACCATCTTTATCTTCGTCCGCATGATTAAATCTTCTTTTCTTTTGTTCTTCTGTAGAGGCTAAGGGGGAAAAAAGGAACACAACTTGAAAGTATGTCATATAAAAAACTAAGAAACTGGTTTGATGCGCTTGCAGCCGTGTGTGGCGTGGTTGTTGTAAAAAGGCTTCATTCGATATCTTTTGATAATTTTGTCAATGCTGAAAAGGGTAAAAAGAGATCTACTTAGACAAATATTGCTTGGGATACAGAGAAAAAAATGATAATCTGCTGTTATTTTACATTTAAATTTCGAGGTCAAGAGACCTTGAATTTTAGTCATCTGCTGACTAGAGTGAGAATAATGGGACACAAACCAGTTTCCATTACGGGATGGTAGGAACACTATTTCTAATTAAGTCTTTTTGGCGGCTTTGTTTTGCCAAATAATTTCTATGTAAAATCTCTTCATGCAGTGGTTGCTGCCATCTTGAATTTGAGCTCGTTACCAGGTCATCGCAAAGTGATTAAGGTCTTAGAAGGAAAGGGTTTGTGAAAAACAGATCTTTTTATTTTACCTCCAATATTTTCTTTGCTCTGTAAATATTCTTCCCAGGAAACCTTGTTGTCTTTGTTTTTGTCCAGTATCTCCAATCGAAATTTAGCTTCTTCGTCGTGAACCTTTTTCAATGTTTTTTGTGTAAACGCTGCAAGTTCTTCGACCGAAGTTTTATTATCAGAGTCCGTATCTGTAAGGGGAATTACTGACCTATAACACATACAAATAATAAAAAATCAATAAAAATGACACATGGTTTGTGCCGGGGGGCACTTAAATATCGACATCGTTGCATAACTGAGAGGGTCGCATCCATACGGCTCCATGGGATTGATTTTGTTTGCCCTTTACGATTAATAGAAAGTTTTGAAGGAAAACTCGCAGTTTGAAAATAACAGATGATTATATCACTACTGTAAATCACATTTAGGTTTCAGGTCAAAAACTAAAGAATGAAAACATATAAACAACACAAAAATTATCTTAGGGTCTATTACCCGCAACCAGCAATTTTGAGCTTCCAAAAATTGTGGCTTGTTGTGGTTATATTTTATTATTATCATCATCTCAAATTTTACGTCTAAAGACTAAATGGTTTAACAGTCTATGGTTACCGATTAACCCATTGCACCCCTCAATAAAATCATTATGGAAACTCAAGCATTCAGTGGCCGAAGGAGTTTATGGGATACCATTTCATCCGCATCGCAAAAAAACTTTAACAGATAAAACAATAAAGTGATATTGATCAAGAATCACTGAAACCCGAAAGACAACAAACAAGCCTAAAATGACAAAAGTAGCTTTAAGCAAAGATCGGTGATCAAGTTAAGAATCTCTCAGAACAAACAAACAAACAAAGAAGCTACTGGTTAAAATCGTCATCGCCTTGGTGAAGTGTTTTGATAACATTTGGACAAAATGAACAAACTAAGAACAGCGAAATAGCAATAGATTGAAACTAAAGACAACTTACCGAAGCTTCTCCTCAAGGATCTCCGCATCAGTTTTATTATTTGCTTTTTGAGCCTCCAAATTCTTGGCAAATGAATTAAGATCGAATCCAGCCGGACATCCTGCATGCACTCTTAATGTGTAAAAACACATTAGCATGATGGCAATTGTGCTCAAACCACCAATCATCTTCTCCGTGCGAGCTCTTCAGTAAGAAAGTAAGCAGAAAGGATGAAATGTTTAAAGCTCGAGGCCTGCGATTTGTAAGAGTAGAAGACACGTTTTTCGCTCGCGTTTAGCCACGTTGCTTAACGTATTGGCTGAAGTGCGATCTTCCGTAAACATATGACAGCTGATATAATATGCAATGTCGTCAATTCACCATTATGCAAAAATAGATGAAATATCGGAACATACTCATTCTTGCGTTAAATGCTTCAGTCACGATTCTAAAAGTAATCAATATTTTCTACAATCACCTGAGAGAATATTGTATATATTGTACAGTAGTTTCCATAGTTTTCAAAATTCAAGGTGATAGCTTTATTTCTCTGGTGTCGACGATATGTTGTATGTTGCATGGCGGTAGCGACGATGCAAAATTTAAACACTCAATGGAAAACCCACTGAGAGCAAATCCAATATTAAATTGTATTATGAGAAAACAAAGCGGCGGTGTTAACCGACAGAGCGTGATTATGCGTACGACGTCAAACAAACTTAAGTCATTAAGCGCTTCTATAAAAAACGCTCAACGGAGTTAATGCTCTCAATTATATCTTTTTCAGAATCGTCATTGTGTCTTAGGTCAATATTTTAAATGTACTCCATAGGGTATCACTACACTTAGTTAATATAAGGTAAATTTCGTGGAAGGTACGAAAAGAGTATAATTTTAAACCGAACAATATTATAGAAACAAATAGATGCTCGCAATTTCCTGAATAACTCTAAAAGGTAAAATTTATCAATAAAATCGCAACGTGAGTATTGGGATTAGCTCATAGTAAGCAATTTTTGAAAATAGCGACGTCGTCACAGGGAGTGGCTATGTATACCGCAGCCCATAGCCAAAAGAACACGTCATTATGTCACAGACATTCGCAAGACCGCAAGTGATTCCTTTAGAGCGGCTGACGAATCTTTCAAGCGAAAACCGGAACCTTTTTCGTTATGTAATATACTCCAGCT